CAGGTAGGTTTATTACCAGGTAGTTTTATTAAGTAGTTTTGTTACCAGGTAGTTTGGTTACCAGGTAGTTTCGTTACCAGGTAGTTTTCTTACCAGGTAGTTTTATTAAGTAGTTTCGTTAGCAGGTAGGTTTATTACGTAGTTTTGTTACCAGGTAGTTTTGTTACCAGGTAGTTTTGTTTCCAGGTGAATATGGTGCAGAGTGGACAGAAGCAGGTGTTGAAGTTGTGTTCTGACGTAAGAACGGTTTTAGCTGGTTTGTCATTTGTGGGGACTAAATCTGTCTGAATTAGTCTGAATGGATTTTGTTTCGGGTTTTTTAATCTGGTTCGAACCACCGATCCAAACCTGTTTATTTCTGCTTTGTTAAACGGTTCAATTCTTGGTGAAATATTAAACATGGCTCAGTAGTTACACGACAATCGTGTCATGACAGAATCAGACCCAGCAAACCCACCTCTGGACATCTTATAAAGATGCTGGACATCTAATAAAGACTAAAAAAGAGGCGAATCGGAGCTGAGTTTGAGCTTTCCTCTGTTTAGTACCAGGTAGTTTTATCAAGTAGTTTTGTTACCAGGTAGTTTTTTTACCAGGTAGTTTTATTACCAGGTGAATATGGTGCAGTGTGGACAGGAGCTCGGTGATGAAGTTGTGTTCTGACGTAAGAACTGTTGGGTTTGAGCTGGTTTGTCATTTCTGGGTACTAACCTAATCTGGTTTGAGTGGATTTTGTTTGTGGTCTTCAATCTGGTTTGAACCACCGATCCAAACCTGTGCATTTCTGTTTTGTTAAACGATTCAATTCTTGGTAAAATAGTCAACATGGCTCAGTGGTTACACGAGAATTTTGACATGACAGAATCAGACCCAGTTCTGGATCTAATAAAGATGAAATTGTTGGGTTTCTGTAATTAACTTCAGAGTAGGGTCTGACCTGCTCTGTTTGGAAAGCTGTGAGACAAATGTTGTTGTGATGTGGCGCTATATAAATAAAATTGAATTGAATTGAATTAATTTTA